CATGCTATATTATCCATAGTGTTTAGGGGTGTGTAGGTTAGGTGCATTGGCCATGGGAAACACAGACTTAGGGTGTTGGGTCTGTGTGGGATACTATTTGGAGGGTTGGTGTGGACTTGGGCTGAATGGCCTGTTTCCACACTGTAGGGATTCTGTGATTCTAAACTGATAATAGACACTGGAAAGACAGTGGGTGTGTGAGACTAAAAAGTTCAGTCATACTTGATGATTGCAGAGTCCTTAAAGAGGAAGATTCTGTCATGACTGGGAAGCAACAGCTTCAGAGTTTTGTGAGTAACATTAAAATACTCTGCAGTCAAGTGGAAAAAAAACTTTAAATTAACCGCACAAAGGACTAGGCTGGGAAGAATAGGTACATAGGAGCAGGAGTAAGACATTCAGAACATTGTGCCTGCTCAGTAACTTAGTATCATCATGGTCAATTGAATACTTCAATGCCTTTTATCCATACTATCTCCATAACTCTTTATGTCGTTAGTAATCAAAAAAATGTCAATCTCTACTTCAAATATACTCAAAAGCTAAGCTTTTACAGCCCTCTGGGTAAAGAATCCCAAACATTTACCACCCTCTGAGTAAACCAATTTCTCCTCATCTTGGTCCTAAATGGCATCCCTCTCATTTTTAAATTGTGCCCCCGGTTCAAGACTTGACAACTGGGTAAAACATCTTTCCTGTATCTACCCTGTCTATCCCTTTCAGTATTTTGTAAGGTTTAATGAGCTCAATTCTCATTCTTCAAAACTCTAGAGAATATGGGCCCAGTTTTCCCAATCTCTCTTCATAAGTCAGTTCCCCCATCCTGGGATCAAGTCTGATGAGTCTTTATTGCACTCCCTCTGTGGCAATAATATATTTCCTGAGGTAGGGTGATCAAAACTGCACACAGAATTACAGGTGCAGTTTAATCAGGCTCCTGTGCAACTGATGCAAAACTTCATTATTCCTGTACACAAGTCCTCTTGCAATAAAAGCTAATGTTCCACGAGCCATCCTAATAGCATGCTGCATTTGCATGATAGCCTTCAGTTACTTATCAACAAGGACACCAAGGTGCCTTTGTACATCTATACTTTTACCATTTAAGGATTTTTTTGCACATATGTTCTTCCTACCAAAGTGGATAATACCATATTTTTCCACATTAATCCCAGAAATCACAGATTGTCCTGGCAGTGGTTAGTACTTCCACTGCAGGCAAAGGCAAGATAGCACAAGATTGTTGTCATGGATACACCTATGAGGTGAGCAGCAGATAATTGTGTGAAAAAAAGCCACTAGAGCTCACAGAGAGAAGTCCCCCCGAAACTCCTCAAAATTCACTCTTTGCTGATTTTTGGTAAAATTCAGCTCTATGACTGGCAATGTAATTTTTTTGGGTTTTTTTTGTATTTGTTGATTTTGTATTTATTCATCAAGTTTTGTCACATTTGTTATGGTTGAAAGATTACTGATGTTGGAGAAAACTATTCAAATTGCATTGCAAGATGAAGCCAGGAAAACTCATAGACAAATCCTGTGAGGAGAACGACAACCGTGACACAGCACAGCAACAGGACTTATCCATTTTTTAACGTATAAACGACCTATAGACACACATGACAAGCAAACACAAAAGGTAGACCCATCAGCAGATGTATTATGACCCACTGGGAAAGTACACTGATTCTTAAACTCCATTATCCCTGGGGTCGTCATGAAAGTTTAACTTTTAATCAAAGTACATGAAGTTCCCAATTTCCTTTCCTGAAATACTCAAGGTAACAGAAAATGCTGACCAGGTTTCTGTACTTAACAAGAACTATAATTTGTTACAAATAAATAACCATACATAAACAACTAAGAAGCATATACTGCTACATGAAACTCTAACCCTCCTTTTAAAACCATTACACATACTTAAGAGATAAACATTAATGTTATGAGTGGAGGAAAATTATAGTTCAATAGAACCAGTCCACAGGCTTTGATGAGGTTATCCCTTCTTTTCCAAAGACCTTCTGTTCTCTGATCTCATTCCTTTCAGATTCTCAGTTCTTTGCTGAGGGCCTATGGGGTTTACACATTAATTGTTCAGTTTCACAGTCACTGGTTATAGGCAACAGAAAATTGGGGAACTGAACAACTGACTGCTCCAGCCTTGAGTTACTTTGATGCAACGGTATATAGACAGACCCTGCTTTTCCAAGCCTGGACACATCTTACACTCTGTAAACAACCAAGCTGTTCATTCGCCCATGAGCCAATTGAAAAGTTGTCACCAGGCTAATGACTTTCAGAATCCATGACTGGCCACAGTCACACAAACCTATCAGCAATCTGTTGCTGGCTGAATCTCACCTTACACACAGAACATGGTGAAATTCTGCCTTACCTCTCTGCACCCCACAGCTTGTAAAGGAACAGTATAAATACAACGCACAAGAGGTCCAGTAAGCTGTTACTAAAAATGCAGCAATTCCTTCCCTAGTGCTTGGTTTGAAAACAGTCCTTTTCTTATTTTATTAGAAAATTGGAAATACAGCAAAACATAAATGATGCGGTCTTTACCGGTGTCATGCTGTGGAAGGATAAAGCTGCACAGGCACAGCCATCCCCAGCTGCAACAGAAGAATGCTCCCTCTGTAGAGCTGGAGGTCATTTCCAGAAGATGAGCAGAAGTCTCATGCAGTTTCAAAGCAACAAAAATGGTGGTGGTTATACACTGAAGGAACTTAGTATGGTAGAACAACCACCACTAAAAAAAATACCAGAGGCATTCCTAGGGGAATTTGGTGATTCAACTGACTTGAGTTTGACAGAACTTGTTTATGTCAATGGACATCTGATTGATTGTAACGTTGATCAAGGGGTTACTGTCATTGTCTTATCTGATCAAGTACATTGACTAATAACCAAGAGTTACAGCCTACAGGACAAAACTACATTCTCCAGATGGAATAATTCTCAAGGTAAAAGATATGCCACAAGTAACATTGTAACACAAAGAATTTGAAAAAGTAAAAAAGATATACATAATCAACACTTATCATTCTTAAGCCTACCTGCATGCATTATTTGACTTTAATATCCTTGTTCCAAGGAAATAACTCATCCAAGAGTAAACTATTGTCATTTCATTGGTCAATGGGCAACAGGTAAATTCATGATGGAACCCAAAAAGAAAGAATCTATTGTGATTACCTATGAGGCATAAGAAAATTTCTTCATACTGTTAACGGGAAGAATGTCTATAACTTTTCAGGAAATGTAGCAATGGTTTCCATTCCTATTACCAGTAAAGAACCTTCTGAGACAAAAATCCACAAAATTGCCAAAATAAACAAATATTAAAGCAGGAATGAGCAGTACAAACCACTTGAGTTCATTGGTGAACTTTTAAGTGATGTCATTGAAACAGCAAAACAGCCCACTGAACAGATTTGACTTGGATATCAGATAATGAACCCACACAAAGTCAAGATCAATGTTTCGATCCTTTGTCTTCCAAAGAAGAATTATCAGTGCGAGGTCAAAGATAGTGCTAAGTAAGCAGAAACCCTCCAGTCCCACAAATGAGGATGTGAAAATATCTAGTTCACCAGAAAGACATCCATAGAGGTTGAATGAAGATGTCTAACCTACACGACAAGTTGAAGTAAAGACCTTACAAGTATCAACACAGATATCAACTGATTAAAATAAAGATTTCCATATATTAATAGGAGACAAGCTGCATAAGACTCCATGGAAGCCAGACCAACATCCACAGGTTCAGCACTCTGTCAAAAAGAAGAAATTACCTGGACTGAAAATCCAGGATACTGCGAAGAAGAAAGTACATGTTACAACAGAGCAGCCATCTTCCCTAATGGACACTCATTAGATTTAAGCTTCCCATATGATATAATGAGGAATCTATGAATTAGCAGGATAGAATTCCTCCAGATCAGGAATTCAGGAGATAATGTTTTCTGCAGATAAGGTAATAGACTAATCACTGCATTGAGTTTAGCAAGAGCAACATTTTTTTTTTAGTGAATGTCATCTCAGATATGAAAGGTCCTCCAGCACAGAAATGCTCTACAGATGATCTGAATCAAGGTCAACAGTCCTCAAGCCAATGAGTTATCAATCTTCCAGATCTGAAAATAATGCATTCTGGAAGAATTATGAAGCCTTGAGGTCACCTGAATTTGTTAAGTCAGAACCCGGGGAGATGGAGTGTTAAGTAGATTTTTACCTGAATGCATAAACATTACCCGAAGGGTCTGTTTCCCTGCTGTCCAACTCTATGACTCTATTAACTGTGGGCAATGGAGGAACGTTGTATAAGGTAATGGTTCTGAAGCACTTCATGTTGAAGACTACATTATGCTCCACCCAATCTAATGATGCAATTCAGTCTTCCAGGGAGAATCGAGGAGTGCTAACTTGATGGGGGTCAGATATGACATCCCTGGTTTCTGATTGGCTAATTGAATATAATTAGCCAATGTAAGTTATAGTTGTCACTGTCATGCAATACACTATACTTTGTTCTTGCAGTTAGTTGGTTCTGAAACGCTGATCATGCCAGCCTCTCCCAGGTTAACTCCCAACCTATGAATAGCACAGTTAATGCTTTCTGTGACGATACAGTTTAACCACTGATCTAGTTTGTAAATAAAAATGCATAACATACCGCAAAGACAACAGATCCTGTTACATACAGGTTGAGGATCCACAGGTCTGGGGAAAATCTGACAACTTAACCCTGATCTTGTATGGAGCAGGTGTGTTGCAACTAAAATTGGCCATTGCATATATGTGCTGTCATCAGGAATGCACTTGCAAAGAGATTTTTAAGTTCCTCTATTTCATTGTATTACACAATAGAAACATATGATTTAAATTAATCATTGGGAGAATTGAGAATAACTTCAAAGAAACTCCACAATTTCCACAAACTATTTTTCATGAATTTAAAATTCACTATTATTTGTTCTTTTCTTACTTACTTGATTGTGGCCCTATTAGTCATATCTTGAAGATCACCCGGGTCAAAAAGCTGTGATCCCTTAAGTCCAAGCTCTTCACATGCTCTCAAAAATAATGTAATATTGTCCTGTTAAAGACATAAACAGAATGATGTTATCAGAATCAATACAGTGTCTTTGACTGCATCAGTGCTTTCCATGGTTTTTGCTTGCAATAAATGGCATAATCTTACATAAATAGTCTGTTATTCTACAGCCATCCTGTTTCATTTCAGCTCAAATGTAAAGAATCAAATAATATTTTATCATGAGGATAAATAATCTGATAAACATTCAATCTATTTCAAGGAAAAAGTATTAATTAATGTAATTCTTTGCAAACATTTAATTTAAAAAGACTGTGAAATTATTGAGTCAAATTTGCTTTTTGATTTAGTTAAACAAACATTTGTGACTGCAATCAATGCCGTTAAATAAACCTAAAACTTCCTCCAATTTACGTCAGCTAAATAATTAAAGCTGTCAGAAGTGAACCATGAATTTATATTTATGCCAATTGTTCAATTTGAACTGCAAAAGAGACAAAACATGTTTCATTGGAAGTGCAAAAGTGCTGGTGGTGGGGAGATATTTTTTATTGAGTTGTGAAGGTCTTCTGTTGGGCCCTGCAACATTGACATGGACTCATAATAATTTTCCTAACTCTAATAGCCATGCACAACCTCGCGGGAAATATAGATAAAATGCTGTTGAAATAATTGTTTTGTACATTTGCCCGGTACTCTTGCAGCATTTCATAGCAGTGTTTTACCAGATTAATTCTATGTTAAAACATATTGGAATTATGTCTTTATAGAGAAAAAAAGAAGCACAGAGAACCACAGAATTACAGAATCCCTACAGTATGGAAGAAAGCCATTTGGCAATCCACACTGACCCTCTGAAAAGATGCTTCAGCACATTGACTACAGAATGAAATGCATCCTTCAGGATGGGCGCATCTTCATTGGAACCTTCAAAGCATTTGACAAACACATGAACCTCATCCTATGTGACTGTGATGAATTCAGGAAGATCAAGCCAAAAAACCCAGACCCATCTCCCCTACCCTATACGTGTTACCCTGAATTTCCCATGGCTAATCTACCTAACCTGCACATCTTTGGGCTGTGAGAGGAAACCTGAGCATGTGGGGAGAATGCTGGAGAAGCTGAACAAGACTCATACCAGACTTGAAATGTTAATTCTGTTTCTCGCTCCACAGATGCTGCCAGACCTGTTGAGTTTCTCTAGCACACTCTGTGTTTGTTTCAGATTTCCAGTATCCTCAGTATTTTGCCTTTAGAGAAAGTAATAACTTGAATGGGAATTGTTTGCAATAGCTGTGAAATTATTAATTAATTGGCATTTTACTTTGACAGTGAATGGAAACCAAAATCTGACAGTGCGAGACAAATTTGCTATGAATTATTTTGGTCCTGTAATAATGAAGAGCCAAGATACTTTTTTGACACTTCTGATGATAGTCTGTGCCACACTATTACAGCAATGACACCAAAGACAGGATTCCTGTCAGTAGTTATATTATGTGCTAAAAGAGACATACGTTTAACCAAAGTCACTTCCGCCTCAAAGTCTCCAGTTATCAACTTAGCCTTGGTCTCACAGGTCTCACCTGGAGGACATTTTCCATCAGTGTGACAAACCAGGTTGACCCTATCCTTAACTTCCAAATATACTCCAAAATCTTTCTAGTTCTGTAATTTAGTTCAGTCTCTTTTAGCATTCTAGCTTCCACTCTACAGGCTGCCACTAACACTTTCCCATCACAAGAACCAAAAGTTTATCTATGTGCACATTCTAATCATGTAAACACCAGCACAAACTCCGGGATTTCTAGATTGAACTTCTTCAGTCTTTTAGATAACCTCTCAAACTCTACAATATATTCTACCATGGATTGATTGATTGATATTAAATTTAGCAAATATTGACCACATCTTGTAGGTTTCCAACAAGTCTTCATTTTTGTAAATTCATTCTACAAATCTGATTGGAATCTCCAATCCCTCTTTGGTCAGGTGTGTACACACAGTTCTGAAAATACACCATGCTGAATTTTTGGATAAGTCCAAGCTGTGTCAAGATTTTTGAAGGGATTTCAGTCATGAGACTCAGTGCATTTTCTTAGCAAACTCACCTCCTTGACTCCTACTTACCCTAGCCCAATGACATCTGTCACATTTGATTCCAGCCCCATCTTACCAAGCAACATTCCCAGAAGAATTCATCACTTGGTGAATATCCTGGACCGAGCAGCCCTTGAAGATACACCATATTTAAAAAGCTGTTGTGCACCCGGAGAAGCACTGTCAGTGCAAGGCATTTGCCCCAGACATTGCAGACGGGGAGAAATCATCATGCCACTTTGCAGCAGGGATTTGGAGGTCCTGTTGGATGGGGTGGTGCAGACACCCTCTTTCCCAGGACCAGCAAGGGAGACCACAACACCAGAATTGGTTGCCACTGAGGATCAAGTAGTCTCAGCTATCTGGAGGAATGTGCTTCAATATAGGAAAAAGGGAAACGACTTTCTTCATTCCGCTAGGGTAGGTACCATCATTTTCTCTCTGATACTTCACACTCACTTTTTCTCTGCTACTGTGATCACCTCCCAACAAGGCTCATGCTCAACCATTTACACCATTGCCTGCAATATTATCCCCACTCACTCTCACACACCCCAAACACCATGACCATGACCCTGCATGCCCTCTCGCAACATACTCACTCACTCGAGACACCTTCACAGTTGCACCAACTGTTTGCAGAGTTGGAGTCACAAGAACAATGGAGGAATGAGATGGAGATGTGGGTCATTATCTCTAGCCAAGAAGAAGAAATGAGATATAGCTTTGGTTTTATCCTTAGCAGGAAGGTGTAAAATTGGAGAAATAAAGGGTGAAACCTTGTAGGGGCCTGAGCAATGTGGGCTATGGTGAGATTTTTGGCAGAATCAGCTGAGAAGCCTGGCGAGGCCCACCTTGTTATTTGGGAGCATTTCACTCCATCTTTTGTGTCTTTACAGTGGCAGCCGCGTCACCCACTTTAAATCCCCGTAATACCTGCCTGTCTCTCATTCCAGGAGAAAAACAGCCCCCAGTGGAGCAGAACAAGTCAAGACAAGTGGTGTGCTGCCTGGCATTCAGCTTCTCATCCCTTATATGGAGACCTCTGGCTGCCCCAGTTGGCTGACTGGCTGTGTCTATGCCCATGGTATAGGAAGCTGCCCTTGACTTGCCATACCAGGACCCTCTTAGCTCTTCTCCTGACTGAGCCTTGCTGACAATCATGACAATCTTCCAGCTTTTGTGTCTGTGCTAAATGGCAATGCAAGCTAGAAGTAATATGAGCCTGGTATCTGTGTCTGAGGGGGTTAAGTTGACAAAGGCAATGCAAAGAGAGGGATACTGTGAGCATCCAGGCAGGCTCACAGTGGGTGAGTGAGCACTATGACAGTGAGCCAAGAAGCCAGAGATGCAGCCTGCTCCAGTGCAGGAGCTGGGTGCATGTCCACGAGCACAGTGACATTACAATGATAGTTGCTGGTGCAGCCTGAGGTGCACATCGAGATGTACAGGATCGTCCTGTAAGCAAACCTGAGGGTTCGTAAAGGCTGTCACATTCAAATGCCAATGTCCATGGAAATGGGCTACATGTGGCCAGTGTCCATGGAGCATCCCTGAGATGCTCTAACACAAGGATCCTTAGGAGCGAGCAGCGAGCTGACTTGGCCAGGTTGACGCTATGGTTTCCAATATGTATTGTCTTGACATCCTTTTTAGTGCAATTGTTATGACAGAAAGCTGAACAAGGCAAGACTGGCCATTAACAAGATGTTTCACAAGCAATAATCCATTTAATTGACAACTCCCTGCTGCCACATGAAAAACTGGCTGCACCATTTTCAAAGACACAAAAGATGGAGTGAAATGCTCCCAAATAACAAGGTGGGCCTCGCCAGGCTTCTCATCTGATTCTGCCAAAAATCTCACCATAGCCCACATTGCTCAGGCCCCTACAAGGTTTCACCCTTTATTTCTCCAATTTTACACCTTCCTGCTAAGGATAAAACCAAAGCTATATCTCATTTCTTCTTCTTGGCTAGAGATAATGACCCACATCTCCATCTCATTCTTCCATTGTTCATGTGACTCCAACTCTGCAAACACCAGTGGAGAACCATAATTCATGATCCATCAGTGAGACACACAGTCATTTCACTTTAAAATAGCCACTGGGACTCAGAAACAGGAATTATATTCTGCTTTGTTTGTCGTCCTATCTGAAGAGATCGGGACTAATCCTCTGCCAACCTGTTTCATATACTGATTTCCACATGTTGAATCAGGCCAAAGACTTTGAAATTTAAAAAGGCTTTACTGTAAATCTGTGGTATAGTACAAACATTGGTTTTCACTTTTCCCATCTGGAGCCTATCCATATCCAGAATCCAACACCCCACTGGGGAAAAAGAAATGCAGCCTTCTTTCATTAAAAAAATCTTTAAGTGAAATAAATCCAATTGCCCACTCACCAAATTGACAAATCACCAAATTACAAACACTACTCACCACAGCCAGTGTGACAAAACACAAAACAGGAACTCAGCAACTATTCTTATGAAATAAGCCAGTCACCAAATTTACAAAATGCCCAATTAACAAATGCCACCCAGTTGGGGCAGTAGACCTCAGTGGGTATATTTTTTAAGCAGAAATTTCATAACATACCTCTGGAGCAGGTAGTACTTGAACATAGGTCCTTCAGCTCTGGTGTAGGGACACTACCACTGTACCACAAAAGCCCTCCAGAATGTGCCTTTCAGATATTTTAATCAATATGCTGCTGACATTTCTCTGGAACAAGTGGGATTTGAACCTGGATCAGAGGTAAAGATACCATCACTGTACCACAAGAGCCTTGATTAGAAGTGAAGTCTCAGTTGGAAGCCAGCATGAAGGGTGAACCCATAATCATGGCATTATAAGTACCATACTCTAACCATTTGAGCTAAACACCCACAGAACACAGCTTTTTTTCTTATACCCAGAAAGGTTATTACACA